TATACTATAATTATACTAAAATAAAATAACTATAAAATTAAATTGTTTCTAAAAAATCTGATTAGAAAGTTGCAAACTACTTAGTACGCAAATTTATTGAATTTTCCTGAGTTTTGCACAAAGTCTAGAGATTTTATTTTTTAAGTTTTTTGTTGTAGTATGAACTTATTTTTTATAAAAAAATAGCGAAAAGAAATAAGAATAAAAGACTTTGCATGCGACGCGAAAAATTCGCTGTGGCGATATTTTTGTCCGGCACTGTATGCAATTTTAACTTTTTTCAGTTTTCGGTGGATGAAACGAAAACAAAAAATCTGCGAAAAGTGGCATGAACCAGTTATGGTTTTTGTGGCATCTTACCTAGCATTTTAGCGACATTAAACAATTTTTGAGACAGATAATGAAACACTACACGGCCTAGTTATATTTGCCAAATATATCCTTGCTGAAATCGAAGTTCATTCACATACGTAAATAAGGAAGCAAATTTTATTTTTTATGACATACTGATGTAAAACAATCTCAAGGTAATAAAGTGTTAAATAATTTGTGAGTGTTAACACAGCTTCTCACAGTACTTTACCATTCATTGTCGTAGAGTTGTTTGACACCAAAAATTAAAGCAAAAAAAAAAAAACTGAGTCACTTTGAGCATTTAAAAAAAATTTACACACAAATATTTTGCAAAACAACAAATTTGTTTTCTTGATTTCTTTGTAAGTCCCAGTAGATTAATTCATTTGAATAATGGCACCGCACAACAAAATTTTACCAACTGCATGCGGCACAAGCGGTGACATATTCTTCTTATAAGAATTATTTTTTGGTAGAATCAGCATCTGACCAAATCAAATTATAAAATTGGCTCTATATCTTAAGATATTTCGGATTTAATGTGTCATTTGGGATTTCTTTTTGAACTCCTGTAGGAAAACATAGACGTGGAATAGACGCTTTTGAGTGGTATAAAAAAAGCTATAAAATTGATATTTTACAAAAAAAATATTAAAAATCGAGGCGATTTGTTAGACGCTTGAAACTTGCACTTGACGAGACTAAATAATAAAATGAACTTGAAAAACGTTGTGAATATTTAAAAAGAATCAACACGCGAGCTCTTGTGTGAGTCACTGTATGTATATGGAAAGTTATAAAGGTAAAAGATAAAAAATATGAAAATATTTCAGGTGCTGGTTGTTTCATTTTAAAACTTCGTTTTTTTGCCTTGTGTTTGTTTGCAGTTCTATTTTTTCATGATAAAATGGCAATATTTTTTCTTTTTTTCTAAGCTTACAAAAAATTAAAAAAATAGTGTTTTAACATTTTTAGTTCCAAATATCTCAAGATCTAGAGCCAATTAACCCTGCACGTGCCTTTTTAGCCGGTTCGACCAACAACAATCGTGTTTTGCTTCGTAACTCTCTCTGACGTCATTTAACTTTTTGTATTTTATATATGTAATAAAGAAAAGAATATGTATTTAATATTTTGTTAATGTGTTTTAAAAAATATAAAGAACTAAAAATCACAAAATATATTTTCTTATTTAATTGCTAATGTTATTTAAATTCAAAGTTGGTGTTAGTCGTTTCGTCTGCAGACCAGGCTAAAAGAGTGAAGCACTTCCAGGCTGAAATAATTTGAATGCCAAAAGCTCTGCCGAAAAATTTTGTTGGCCAGTGTAATAGATATTCAAATTTCTTTGCGACCTTACTTCGCAGACAGGCACACTGACGAGTTAGCTACTTGCACAGCTGTTTCTATTGTCAACACAGCGATTCAAGTGTCAGTTGATATGTATATCCATCGCTTTTCTAATTAGCGTAATAACTCTTGGATTTTTGATACTTATTAAAAAGATATAACCAATAGAAAATAAACGAAATCGTATATCTCCATTTATTGGTTTTATTGTGACATAAACATTAAAGATATTAAATACAAATTTATACTATTTTAAGTTATGGACTTTTGAGGAGATGCCTTCATTTTGGCTCTCATTTACTATTTAGTCTTTAAAATAATTAAATTTCTAAAAATTAAATGTAAATTCCGGGAATAGTAGAAAACGCGAAAATTATTCAAAACGTAGCCTCGTGCGACCCTCGCCAAAAATTTTCTAATGAGAAATATAAATACGAAATTCACTTAGTATCCGTTAGTTAGTTTAGCAAACCGACGTTGAAGCGTAAAGTTGCAAAAATTCATCACAACAAATATAATAAAAAATGAAAGCTCTAACACAAATCCTTGTAATTTGCTTACTTTGTGCAACCGTATTTTGTAATGTTTTAAATTTCGATTTCGGACAAGAAAGCTATAGCAATCTAATAGGCCAACCTCGAGCTTCATCTCAAAATAGTTGGGGTATGGGCGGGCTCTTCAATCAATTCACTACGAATGTGGAAAGCCTGGTCAAGGGCACTGTGGATAATATAGTGGATGTAAGTGTTTCTTAAATGAAGAAATTATACTAAAGACTACTTAATAAAAATAAATATTATAGTGTTTTGATAAGTTATTCGGAGGTATGAACGGAAAGAAAAGAGGACCGCATAGCACACTACCAGATCCGAACATAACAAATACGACTACAACAAGCACAACAAGTACAACAACAAGCACAACAAGTACATCAACAAGCACAACAAGTACATCAACAAGCACAACAAGTACATCAACAAGCACAACAAGTACAACAACACCAACGCCGAGCACTGTTGCCGCCGGTGCTGGTGGTGCTGGCAGGAAGTAACTGCTTGATCGGTGGGTGTATTTGTAAAATAATGCAAATATGTATGTGAAAATTAGAAAATATTGAGAAATAAATTATTTTTGAATTACATATAGAATATGCAAGTTTGGAAGAATCATTATACGAATAAACAAAAAAAGAATTTAAAACTATATAATGAAGTATTACGAGTATTTAACTTTGCTGTCTACCCTGAAATGATTGTTTGAATATGTTTTGTATGACTCTACGCTACATTAAAACATCAAAAGCTGTAAGCCCAACAAAGCGGGGAAGTTGAAATTTTTGTTGACACAGCAGGCATCCACAGCTGGTTAAAATACGCTGTCGTGTGCGTTTACTAGGGTGAGTTGGCTTTTTCAGCCAGTTTTCTTTCACTTTAAAAAATAAATTCACGTGAATTTTTTCGAGTATTGACGA